GTCCATCCCACAGTCTCCAGGTAGCCACCAAGCGCTCAAGCACGGGCTACTTTGGTCACATTTGTGTTTACTTTCCTCCTGTGAGAAATCCAGTCCTACACCTACTTCCCAACAGGCCCGTGCCAGCAGATGAAGCGCAGACACCACAGGGCCCCAGGGGCAGTGAGGAGACATGAACGTGTCCATGAGAAAGGGGGCCGCTGGGCGGGGTGCAGGCACCCAGTCAGCTCCAGGAGTGCAACTCTGTCACTGGCAGTGCAATATTACTATGTCTTCTTAGGAAAATGTCAAAACATCACCACCCCACTGTCTCCAGGTATACTTTACACGACCCTGCAGTGACCCCGACGGCAACACAACCCCGTCCCTGACTGTGTTTGCTGAACTTTCTGTCATCCCCTTGGAGCAAACAATCCAACACCTGATAAAAATCAATAGAAAGTTCCACACAGTCTTATTTTGAACTTACTTTTTAGATGGAAAAACAAATATACTAAAAACAATTTCCACACTTCATAACTCAAACCTAATTTTAAAAAATTTCATAAATCTTAGCTAAAATGGTTTACGAAGGACATAACCAGCTCCTTTGAATGCTTAAGGCTCAAGTCTGGGGAAGGTACAAACATCTTTCAGGGAACTGGCCAACACAGTTGCAGGCCTGATCACCAGCTCTGCGAGAGACTGGGATGGAGGAGATGAGGCTGNTAAAAACAATTTCCACACTTCATAACTCAAACCTAATTTTAAAAAATTTCATAAATCTTAGATAAAATGGTTTACGAAGGACATAACCAGCTCCTTTGAATGCTTAAGGCTCAAGTCTGGGGAAGGTACAAACATCTTTCAGGGAACTGGCAAACACAGTTGCAGGCCTGATCACCAGCTCTGCGAGAGACTGGGATGGAGGAGATGAGGCTGAGGCCAGGCCACGACGTCGCTGGGGCCCAGCCCGCAGAGCCCGGGGGGCTCCAGGAGGGACGGTGTGCGTGGCAGTGTGGGGGTCATTGAGTGTGGTCACAGGGTTTCAGGAGAACAGAGGAGTGTGTCTGCACGTGACAGCATCAGGTGACTGAAGCAATCTAACTCCAAACCTGGACTACAAAAGAAATGGGGAAATTTAAACATTATATCTCTTTCACAGTGTTTTTCTATAAAATGATGCTTCACTATTTTAAATTCTGCTCAAGAATCAAAAAGGCTTCCTGCCCTGGCTTGATCCTGATCATCATATAAAAACCATTTTCAGTGCCGTCCATGAATATCGTAGATGAGCAAATCCTTAATTTCCCACTAAAAGACAAACTGCATGATGCCGTAACCTTGGAAAATTGAGCGTAAAGCAGTGCTGTGAGAGGGCTCCTTACTGCTGCGTGCTGAGAGCTGTGATTTCATTATCAGAGGATGACTATGCACATTCTCAACCGCGTCAGGCAACCACAATCACGGCGCCTGGTCCACGATACGTCTCCCTCTCTGCAGTTTTTCCTCACAGCTCCGTGAGAGAGGACAGCATCATAATTAATGAAAGCACCAGGCAATTTCAGCAAAAAGCCTACAACTGTTCAAAGAGCATTTCAACTACAATGCTTAAGTTAATGCCATTCCACGGAGGAACCTACCATGACCTCATTCAAGAGAATCTGCAAAAATGGCTATTATCACCTACTGTTCTGGTGCACATACACTGCTTAGGCCTTACCCTAAAATTTCCCCAAGTATCTTAGAATCACATACTAATATAGCTGACATCACCATGAAATGTGGAAGAGGAGCGTCACTGTTTTCCAGAACAGGGAGAACAAATGTCACAAAGACTATTATAAGGGAGCCAGAATCACGACAAGCGTTCTCACAAACCGATCGGTGGACGGCTGCAAAAGCGCTCAGAGCCGGGCTTCCCCACTCTCCCTGGGGTGCTGCAGAGGAGCAGAAACAACAGGCAGGGGAGAGGTCCGCTGCGCGACTCCTGGGTCCTCTCTCTCCACAGTGGACAAAGACGCAGCGAGTGACAGAAGCGGGCGCTGGGGTCCAGCTCGATCCAAGTCAGTTACCAAAAGTGAAGCTCATCTTTTTGTCACGCAAGAGAGCCTCTGGCCACCACGGTACTTGCTGTACATTTCCGCTGTTGGTGGGGTCTCCCGAGAACAGCAAGACGATCACAGAGGAGGAGCTGCTCACCGGGAGCAACACCCTTAACTGGCGTCCCAATTCTACTTCAGAAGGGTGGGGGTGGGGGGGATGACTAACCTTATTTGAAAATAAACAGGCAAGTTCCACTTATTATTGAAGC